TTTTCACTCTCCTCTCCTCATGAGATAGAGACTTAAGCTCCAACTCAGGAATGTCAAATGCCCGCCCTCATGTAGGGCTAAAAGGGCCATGGCCGGACTGGACGGTAGCGCAGTCACTGAATGGCCAGTTGGAGCAGAGAGGCTATCAGGCGATCCGAAGTCTGTGCAGGTAGAGCTGGCACGTCATCTCCTCAGAGGCAAATTTGCTAGCCTCTGGCGAGGATTCCTCTGTCGATGTAGACTTAGATTTTAAGGACTCCTTGGTATGGTCGGGTTCCCTACTGCGGCCTGCACCTATCTGGGTAAGATGTAGCTTACTCAGGCAGAAAATCATTAATGTGCCTGAGAGTCAAAATGAGTAGGCCGAAAAAGGCGGGAAAGGAGAAAGAAGCAAACAGTTGAAGTGTGGGGGGGGGGAGGGGGGGGGGGGGGAGGGGGGTAAGCCAAGTAGCTGGAAGCAAAGAAGAAAACAACTCACGGGGGATCATAGATTAGATAATTGAGAAGGGAAAGAATCCAATTTAGAGGGAATTGATCAATAAGCTAAGGGGAAAAACCCCTGTGGAAATAGCTCTATGCTCTGTAGAACTTTACAGCATGGCGGAAAAAAGGAACTGAGGGGAATCTTGGGTGGGAGGAGCTTGTGCCTCATGGGGGATCATACCATAAAATTGTTACTTTTAGCTCTGGAATGCTCCGAGAATGTCAGCGCAGGCGCAGACTAAACCCATATGTGTGTATTCACAGAGGCCACGAAGAAGAAAGTAAAGTTTTCCAAGCAGCCAATTGAGTGAGTTGTAGGATGGCTCCTTTTCTACCTTTTAGTTGTGCACAAAAGCAAAGACTGGGGTTCAAAGAGCCAAGCAATCGTAATCAAGAAGTCCAGAAGCTAAGCAACCAAGTGAGACAGCAAGCCAGTTCCTCAGCTTTCCCCTATCCAAAAGGTAAAGTGTTTCGAAGGCGTTAACAATTTTTGTAAGATGCAAAGACACCCAGTGTGGACAGAATGGCAGACTAAGACTCAAGAGGCCTGGGTTCCAATCCCCATTCATGGAGGCTCACTGGTGGTGTGGAACCGGTAAAATGGCTCCTTAAATGTCTCACTTACTTTACTGTATTAGAGTTACTATAAGTCGGTTTTGACTTAACATGAGCAGCAAAAAATTTTTAAGGAAGGGCCAGTCTGGAGAGACATGAGTTGGCAACTAACTCCCTGAGGGGAGGGGATGGAGGGAGTGATCTGACAGAGTCAACAGGGAGTGTCCTGGCTGAAGGAAATGTGCTTCAACACCTCCCACCTCCCCCCGCTGGGTGGCGCAACTACACTTTGTATGAATCTGTACAGAAGTAACAAGCCTTGATTCTATGTGTATGGATGGTCTGGGAAGTCAGGAGTCACCGCTAAAGGAACAGCAAAATAAGCACACACTTCAGTTTTCTGGAATGCCACTAGTAGAGACTTGGAAAAAAGAGCAGGACAGGTCCTTTCCCCCCCCCCTCCACCTAATTGATCTGTATTTAACATGTGAATTTTAGTGATCACTCTACTGGATACTTAGTAAGGCTAGTTGTATCTGTTCATTTGATGTTATTTACAGAAAAGCTCTTATCTGTGTTTCACATCTACATTAATCTACAATTAAAATACCCTTAAAATATATATTCAAATGTGTGTTTTCTCAGAATGGGAGAGAATCAAATGTTGCAACATTTGAGAAAATGAGGAATCTGGTGGATAGTTTCTGATTCACACATTAGTCTGAGAAGTGCAATTCTAATTTTTCATATAGGAACCATCAAGCAATGAGTACTCACCTACTGATGAAAGACTTTATGTTATCTCCTGTAACGGGAGCCATGCTCATTGGCATTGGCTCAGGAGTAGACAACCAGTAAGAATAATCATTCCTTGAGGCAAAATTACAGACATTGTTAATGTTACAGAACAGGAAAGGCATTGTGCTGAATTTACGTAGGCAGCTTCCTGCTGTACCTGAAAGAAAGAGCAAATATAAAATGTTGATCTTAATTCTTTCTATGTAATGCTACAGGTACTGAACCTTATATAGTATAAGGCTAGAAAAATGATGTACAAAAAGGCTTAAAAGCAAATACAGAAGCCAGAATTTTAGTAACTTGCATGTTCACGTACAAGCTATTGTGCAAATGATGATGAAAATGTTTTCCAGGCTTTTTGTTACATAGTCAGTCCTCTTTTCATAGCACAGCTGTGTGATCAGGTGTACAATAACCAACAAGCAAAACCTGCTAGTGTGATTGTCCTTAAAAACACAACAGGATTTTGGCCAGTTATCAGAGGAAGGGAAAGTGTATGGAAGGGAAAGTTTTGTACCTCTTAATTCGTGTCCAGTTTAATGTGATGGTACAGGATTTCTGCACTGTATAAGATCAGTGATAGACAAACATTACCCTGCCCTCAAGCACCCATAATTTATTATTATTTTGCTACTTTATTTTTATTCTTGCCACTAAATAGGTGGGTTATTAGTTAATAAATCTTTTGAGAAAGCACCGGAGGAGGTCTGAAGGACCACCAAGGCTCCTACTTACATGCTTCCTGAGAGACCTTTCTTCTGCTCCCTCTATGTTTTGCAATATGAGGTAAAATGACTGCCTTGTTGGAAAAATATATTGAGCACTTTGTGAGGAATTAGGAGGAAACTGGGACTGTTACGTTCTGTATGAGTTTAAAAAGCAATGAAACATTCTCATGAGACTGTTAGAATTATGCTGCCAAGCATGAAGATAAGGAGCAAGGCCAAGGAGGCCCAGAGAAGACCAAACAGAGCGTAAGATAAGGCACTTGGACTTGGGATCTTCCTCATGTGAAATCTGGGTGGTGAACTGTGTTGCATCCACTTAATCTTACTTGATCTTACTTGAAGTCATGAAGAAGGTGGTCCAAAACATGTAGAAATGGAGGGTGTGTGTATGTGATTGATGTTTGTTTGTTGGTGTGTGGAATGTTCAAGGAGAGAGGTTTGTTTTTGTTTGAAGGAGAAGGGGGGAAAGAAATAGCCCAGCTTCTCTGTGTGTTAACATGTAGAGAGAGAAAAATGACTACTTACCCTAGCCTTGGCTGTTTATTATTTTACTTAGAAAAAATAGACTTATTTAATCATTGTAACAGATGATTAAATAAGCTTATCCTTTAAAGCCATAACTGTATTCTAATGAAACTATTTTCTCTTGGTCTCTTGAAACAGCAGAGCTTACATCTAAATCCAGTGTGGATTTGAGAAGGTAACTAAGTTGCTACTGTAAATTGAGAGATCCTACCGGGCAAGGCTGTTGTGCATTCTAAGGAAGCACATAATCAGTATTGCTTTGGAAGGAAGCAAAAGTTACTTTTAAGATTAGGCTTGTCCATGGGGCTTGTACTACGCATGTCTGAGGCCTAAAGAACCTATCTCAGGCAATAAAGGTGGTAGTTTTGTGCCCACAGTGACTCCATGATCATTCTCTCTTTAGGGAGAACTGATTGTGGCAAACTTACCCCCCACTGATGTCTGGGAACAGACAGATTCACCTATCTTGTTTCCAAAGCAGTCTCAGATGAGCTTCCCCAGGTGACTCCCCTGTTTGCTACCCTTATCTTCTATGATGCTCACCCAAAATCCTTATATAAAGCTGAGGAAGACGGCTTTAAGGGGCAGAAATCGCCTGCTACAACTGCCTGTAGTGGAGGGAAGGTATGAATAAAAAATGATAGCCACAGGATAAACTTTGGGCCAATTACACCAGTTAGGCAGCAAGCCTCACCTAACTTGTAGGAGAACTCTTCTCCCAAATTCCAGTTAGGACAAGATGATGCTGTTAAGGTGCTACACTCAATATGTCCGGAAATTTGGAAAACTCAGCAGTTGCCAGAGGATTGGAAGATCAGTCTACATCCCAATCCCAAAGAAGGGCAGTGCCAAAGAATGCTCCAACTGCCGTACAATTGCACTTATTTCACATGCTAGCAAGATTATGCTCAAAATCCTCCAAGATAGGCTTCAGCAGTATGTGGACTGAGAACTCCCAGAAGTACAAGCTGGATTCTGAAGGAGCAGACGAACTAGAGACCAAATTGCTAACATGCGCTGGATTATGGAGAAAGCTAGAGAGTTCCAGAAAAACATCTACTCCTGCTTCATTGACTAGGCAAAAGCCTTTGACTGTGTGGACCACAACAAACTATGGCAAGTTCTTAAAGAAATAGGAATGCCTGATCACCTTATCCATCTCCTGAGAAATCTATACGTGGGACAGGAAGCAGCAGTTAGAACTGGATATGAAACAACTGGTTCAAAATTGGGAAAGGAGTATGACAAGGCTGTATATTGTATCCCTGTTTATTTAACTTATATGCACAATACATCATGTGAAAGGCTGGATTGGAGAAATCGCAAGACAGAATTAAGATTGCCGGAACAAATATCAACAACCTCAGATATGCAGATGATACCTCTCTGATGGCAGAAAGTGAGAAGGAATTAAAGAACCTCTTAATGAGGGTGAAAGAGGAGAGCATAAAAAATGGTCTGAAGCTCAACATAAAAAAAAAACCAAAGATCATGGCCACTGGTCCCATCACCTGGTAAATAGAAGGGGAAGAAATGGAGGCAGTGACACAGTTTTCCTTCTTGGACTCCATGATCACTGCAGATGGAGATAGCAGCCACAAAATTAAAGGGCGGCTGCTTCTTGGGAGGAAAGTGATGACAAACCTCTACAGCATCTTAAAAAGCAGAGACATCACCTTGCCAGCAAAAGTCCACATAAGCAAAGCTATGGTTTTTCCTTTAGTGATGTATGGAAGTGAGAGTTGGACCATAAAGAAGTCTGACAGCCGAAGAATTGATGCCTTTGAATTGTGCTGGAGGAGACTCTTGAGAGTCCTGGACTGCAAGGAGAACAAACCTATCCATTTTGCAGGAAACCAACTCTGAGTGATCACTGGAAGGACACAGCCTGAAGCTGAGGCTCCAATACTTTGGCCATCTCATGAGAAGACTCGATTCTCTGGAAAAGCCCAATGTTGGGAAAGTGTAAAGGCAAGAAGAGAAGGGGACGATGGAGGATGAGATGGTTGGACAGTGTCATTGAAGCTACCAATATGAATTTGACCCAACTCCGGGAGGCAGTGGAAGACAGGAGGGCCTGGCGTGCTCTGGTCCATTGGGTCATGAAGTCGGACACGACTAAACGACTAAACAACATGGGCTAATATTTTGCACTATCAGTAATGGAATTCCTTTGTATTCTATCCTTGAATTTCTCCCTAAATGTTGTAGTATTTTTCCCCTCATAGTAGATGTGGCAAATCTCATAATTATATATCTTGGTTTTGCTGGAGATTCTGCTTTAGGAGTGGTTGTCCCATGGAATCTCAAAATATAAACTGGAGTAATTTTTAAAACAGAAAGGAGTTCAGAAAACCACTCCACAATGAGCTTTAGTGTGTTCTCCTGCCCTTCCAATTCTGGAATCTCATGTGTCCTCAGGTTTTATCCATGGCCCAAGTCTTTGGGCTTGAACCCGTCTTTGATACCAATTTCCCAAACCCAACTCTCAAGCCCTATTAAAAATAAGCTTTTTCTCCAGAGAAAAGGAAGGATGCGTGGAGGTCTGAAGGAGAGAAATCCTTCTAAAATGCTGACACCAATTTGATTTTTCAAAACACACCCACACAAGTTCAAAAGAAATTCAAATTCTGGACCTTTGGAACAACACACTTTACTTCTGAGAAAGGTGCAGGACCCTGAAATGGGGCTGGAAGGAGACTGGGTCTCTCTGAAGCTGCTTTTCTCTCTGCTTTCTTCAGTCACCCCCCTCCCTACACATTCCCAGTTGGGAAGAAGGCTAATCCAAGCTCCCTCATGCTACCATTTTTACTTGATTTTTACAAGCTGATTATAATAAAGTTATTCTTCTAGAAGTAGAGTGGCCAATATCTGGCTCATGGGTTACATACAACCCCCAAAAGCCCAATTGTGGCCCCCAATAGCCAAAGAATCAGCCGACACTCCATTCTACAAAACTTTAATTTAAAAAATTAAGAAAAAAAATTCATTCAAAAATCTATACATGCTAGGATGGGTGTGGAAATTTTGTTTACTTTTTGAGAGTCCTTGACACTCTGTTCACTACCCAAAGATTTTGACTATAAGGAAATGTTTGACCACTGGAGTGTGCAAGGGGGATAAATGTCAACATGCCCTTCCAGTGGCAGATTTTTCTGATGTCTAAATTCTAGCATTCTGTTTCAAAGCCCCAGTCATTTGCCTCCCTAGTTACAGCTTTGCCTAGAAAGACATACACGTTTGAACAGACATTCCAGATATACATGTTTGAATAGATTTGTTCTGGATTCTCTTACCCAAGTCCTGGCCATGGGCCCGTTCATTTCCTTGTATATAAAGCAAAGAATATCCATAGAACATTAGTCTTGTCCCAGAAGGACATGATGGCTCATCAGTGGTCTGGCTGTGCCTGGTCACAAGGAAACCATGAGCTACCGAGGGACTACCTGGTGGACCCATTGACCCCGGCAAACCTTCAGGACCAGGTGGACCTGGAAAGCCTCTAGGACCTGTAAGATAGAAATGGCATTTTTAAAAAAGTGAGTCATATTACATACTATTGCTTTTTTGCGACATGTAGTTTTAAATTGTCACCAGAGAAACATTCTTCTCCAGATTTGTCTTTTAAAAGGTCTCTATCATGACTGGGCAAAATCCTAGTCATTATTTTTGTGCAGTTAAACAAAATGGCGGTCTGCTAGGTAACCTGAAAAAGGGTGGTAGTCCAAACAAAAAATTCTAACACAAAAACTGGACTTCAGATCAGCACAAATTTGGTACAGTGGCAGCAGACAGTCTGCTCCTGTTCTAGGCAAGATTTGGGGAGGTTACATCATTAGTTACCAAGTTACAATTTCTTTAAAAAATAACACTTTTACCTCCATGCAGAAACAAGCAACCTACAACTCCAGCAGACCAGGAGCTGTTCAAACAAATTAAGAATTACATGCTTTTTTAAAAATACATTAATACATATCCTGCCGTCTTTTGTTGATTCTGAGTGAATTAATTCTGTAGGGGGCTTAAATAGCTGCCCTGGAGGAGGACACTTTTAATAAAGAGAAATAATAACTCTGAGCATGTGCACTGAAATGTTCAGAAAGATTGTTTCTTCATGCTTGCTTTCTGAAGGCTGAGCCAGTCACACATCTGCCACCTTCCTTTGGCTCTGCTGGTAAGGAAATAGGAAAGGGGATCGTGACCACCACACACCAGCACCAACCTAGCCAATTCAAGCCACTTGCACCCGCTCTGATCTTGCCTCCTCCTTTGGACTCTGTAGCTCCTATTAATCGCTGTAGGAAAATTCCAAGGTTGTAGTTGTGTTGGGTGGAGGTGGGGGGAGGAGTACTTCTTAATGGGGGCTACACTCACCTTAGTGCTCTTCCTACTGTCTTCCCTTGCCAACAATTGTTGAGCAAGGGAGTGCCTAAGTGACCAGTGACTGCCTGACTCCTTTGCTCTCCAAGGCTCCTGTCAGTCCATGAAGAAAATGATGAGGCTGTAATTTTGTGGGGGAGGTGGGAGTGCATCTTAGTAGTGGCTGCACTCACCTTGCTGCTCTTCCTGCTACCCTCCCTTGTGAAGAATCGTGGAAGAGCAAGTGCTGCTGAGTGGATTCTGGAAGATATAGTCCAGGTAATAAAGTTTCCAAATATTACCAGGAAACTCTTCCAAGTGAGATTGAGACATGAATCAGTCAGGCTAAAAGCCATTATTAGAGGCTTCCAACTACCAAAGTGAAGCAAACTTTTCCTTACCATTTGTTCAGCAAATCATATGTTATATTCATATATGCCATTCAGCCAAACTCAGCACAGTAAAGCCTGGCCTTTTGTTTGTTTACTCAGAAGAAAAGCCCACTGAGTAAGTGGCTAGAGAATTGCAGCCTTTGTTAGCTGTATCACATTTTGCAAACCTTTTAATGATATTTTATTAGGGTGTTTTCTATGTAATGTTAACCCCCCTTTTCTGCCTTTGAGAGATAAGTTTCTTGTGCTAACCTAAATAGCATGTTTTTTACAATCTGTTGTGCAAATAAATTAGCCATAAAGTGCCTAAGCAAGGGCTGCAGGATCCCTTCACCTTCCTCCTCCTTGAGATATGCAGTGGGTCCCAGTCACTTCCTTTCCCCATTGTTGCAAAGGCTACACACTCCCTGCCTCCTCTTTTTCCCTGGGATCTATAAGGGATTTGATTCACAGTCCTTAGTAGATGCCATAGAAAAGGGTAAGGAAGAGTTGTGCAGCTCCTGCAATTTGTCACACCTTGCTTAAGCAAGCTATTTTGCAAGAAGAACTAGGGAGAGCCACAGAGTGCCTAAGCTAGTGCTGCAGGAGATAAGGCATATACTCTGTTTCCCCGAAAATAAGACCTAACCTGAAAATAAGCCCTACTATGATTTTTCAGGATGCTCGTAATATAAGCCCTACCCCCAAAATAAGCCCCAGTTAAGTGAAAGATGACAGAATGCTTAGAGAGACAGAAACAAAAAGTGAAAAAAGAGATACAAGAAATTACTTAGAAATATGAAAAAGGGAAAAATAGGAAGGGGGCCCTTAATGTTGAAAAGCATGTATATATCTACGGGAATTGAAAAGGAGCATTTCCTTTATATTAAAAAGGAGAATTAAATTGAAATAAGAGATCACTAACCAGGGTAAAGACGTAATATGGTGGGTTTTCTTTTTAGGTAAACTAGATATAAGGTTGAGCCATGGATCTAGAACTACTTTTATTAAGTATGTTCTTAGAAAATCTTGATAATATTGTACACTATGAAAGTAATACAGTGGTGCCTCGCAAGACGGGTCCTCCGTTTAACGATGAATCCGCATTACGAGAAGGTTTTTGCGATCACAAAACAGCGTTTTGAATGGGGGGATTTCACTGCGCAATGATCGGTTCCCTGTTTCGGGTTTTCAAAATGGCCACCAGGTGGTCAAAATGGCTCCCCGCTGTGTTTAGGAGCCATTTTTCACTGCACAGGCACCCGAAAATGGCCGCCCCTATGGAGGATCTTCGCTGGACAGTGAATTCTTAGTCGATTGGAACGCATTAACCAGGTTTTAATGCATTTCAATGGCTTTTTTATTTTCGCTTTATGACATTTTCATTCTACAGCGATTTCGCTGGAACAAATTAACGTTGTAATGCAAGGCACCACTGTATTATGACAGTAGCCAATATTATATACTAAAATACGTACATGAATGGTTTGAAAGATGTCTGAAATTTGGGGGGACAACTGGGAAGACACTGAGATGTAAAAAAAAATAATTGTAAGCAAATCATGTAACATGATGTTTGATAAGCACAAACAGAATGTAGATAGAGTGAAAAACTAATAAAATGTATTTAAAAAGAATGCAATCTTTAAAAATCACTGAATGAACTTAGCCCTAAATTTGAATAAATATGTAGAGGATTGTGCTTCACTTCTTGGTGTGAAACTATTTCAAGCATACATGACAGGGTTCAAGTTGAGAATGCTGGCCAGATTTCATGTTTATCATACAGAAATCACCTTACTGGTTACTATTAAACTGTTAATTATGAAGCATAGGAAACAGAGGTGCTTGAGATTGGACAGGAAAGAATTCTTATTGGTCAAAAGGATATTTTTACATTTGTAAGGCAGATTTCAATTTTTACTGATAATACAATGGCTGAGAAGTATTGAGCCCTTCCCAGAAAAAGTTGAGCTAGGAAGCTATAAATTGCAGGGTGTATTGGCCAATTTGTCTGTATACAATGGTGCAAAAATCAACTACCTATGATTTTAACGTCTCTCATGTTCAGGTCCAAAGTGAACATGGCAGCACCTCCAGAAAAGTTCAGTGTCCCATTTTTCCAAGGGAAAGGTGCAAAGCAGATCCATGATGAAATGTCACAAACTATGGGTGACAGTGGCCCTTCATATGCAACAGTTAAATGCTAGATTGTCAATTTTAAAACTGACCGCCCAATATCAGCCAAAAGTATTGCTATATATCTGAGATATCATGTGAGAGAGTTGGTGCCATTATCCACAACGACTTGGAAATGAGAAAGCTGACAGCAAAGTGGTTCCCCAAACTTTTGACAACTGAACAAAAGAGGAAACATGTGGAGTCATCAGTGGCTGTTTTGGAACATTTTGCAAGAAATGAGTCAGATTTCCTGGGCAAACTTGTAACTGGTGATGAGACATGGATCTACTGTTATGATCCTGAGACAAAGGAACAGTCTAAGGAATGGAGGGACAGTGGCTCCCCCAGGCCAAAGAAGTTCCCAGTGCAAAGGTCGGTGCAGAAGCAAATGGCAACAGTTTTTGGGGATAAAGGAGTTCTGCTGGTGGAGTACCTCCAACACGGTTCAACCATCAATGCAAAATATTACTGTGCTTTATTGACGAAGTTGAGGCAAAACATCAAGAAAAAACATCAAGGAAAGCTCTCCAAAGGTGTCATCCTGTTGCATGACAACGCCTCATCACACACTACAGGTGAAACAATGACAAAACTGACCTCCTTAGGCTTTCAAGTGATGCCCCATCCATCCTATTCATCTGACCTGGCTCCTTCTGACTATTATCTGTTTCCCAAACTAAAAAAACACCTAAAGGGGCAACGATTTGGGAGTGTTCTGGAGGCAACTAATGCTGCAAATGAGTGGTTACACCAGCAGTCGGAAGAATTTTATTTGCAAGAAGCTGCTGGACAGATGTCGCAAGTGCATTGAATTCCTGGGGGGAATATGTAGAATAGTGTTGCAGTTACAGCTTCCTAGCTCAATTTCTTCTGGGAAATGCTCAATACTTACTAGCACCCCCTCGTAGCAAAGTTGAATGTGCATTGCATGACTCTTAAGCCCATGTAAATATCAGAAAATATGAATGATAATCAAGTGATGGTGATGAAACCTCGTGGAAAACCAATTGACAAGGGCTTATTCATCCAGATGGTGTGAGAACTGGCACTTGAATTGATTATCACATGTGCATGGAAAGGCATGGTTTTGACTTGACATTTCAGATCGTGGATTTTGTGTATTCAGAGAAAGGAGACCTTACCTCTTTCTTCCCATTAGCATCAATAATCTTCCTTTTTGCTGAAGGATGATTCCAGCTGAACTTAATCTTTTCTACTTCTCTTATGTTTGAACCAGAGATGATATCAATGTTTCAAACACCAAAAATTCTGGTATTAATGTATAGGAGGTGTTGATGAGTAGATATAATTTTCTCCATCCAGTAAAGCTAGATGTTCTAATTCAAGCCATTTCACTTCCCTCCCAAAGATTCAAATATCCCCATTAAACATTTTTTTAAAAAAACCCATGCTGCAGAGAATGATTTTAAATCATATTTTGCAACAGGTATATGCACTTTTCTTTTTACATTATGTCTCAATCTCAATCTGTTCTGCTCCACTGTTGTGAATAAAATAACATCAGCACTGAATAGTGTATTGTTATCGAAATTTTAAAGTGATATTCTATGCCTTTGCTGAAACTGCTAAGTCAATTATTTATTGTCAACTGTGTGTAGGGCTGCATGCATAAGAATAGGGCTGGATACATAAGAGTGGTGCTGTGTGCAAAACAGAGCTGAGTGAAAAAAGCCTTTCCTAATAAGGCAATCACACCTTAACTGTAAGACTGATGATTGGTGGATTTCATCTGGGACAAAGTGGTAAATGTTCTGTGCCTATTATAAACATTGTACTCCTTTGCAAGCGGTGGTTCCTATTTACATAAATAAACTGTTTATTCACTCACTATGGGATCTTTTTGGTGTCTCCAGCTACCCTCCTAAACAAATGAACCTCAGGTTCTTTTAACCTTTGATCTCTTTTCTTCCACTTCACATATGAAGGGAACGTCTTTGAGAAGTCTTTCTCTATATAGATTGCTGGGAATGCTGTGCACTATGTTGCATAAAGCAGAAGCACTTCAAATTAATTTAAATACCACAGAATTAACATGCCAATAGTTTCCAGTTATACAGAGATTATTTTGGTGCACCCAGTTAATCTGAAAGACATGTTTAATTTATTAAGGAAACCTAGAGAAGTTGAAAAACAGCTCTGAGAATTGCTTTGTGTTTGGGTGAGAAAAGTTAGCTGATGAAAAAAGGAAAGTTCTGGAATTTTCCCTTTCTTAGTATCTCTTTGTGAATGGTAGTGATCACAAGAGGGGATCCTAGTGCAGACCATTTTGAATGCTGCCATTGGTATTGTCAACATGCAGGCTGGTTGGTATCCTTTTTCTGACTGGCAGTGCAGGCACAATATTGTGCAACAATGTCGGGCCATTTCCCAGCATGCTGAATTGTTGATACAGAAGCAAAATATCCCACATATAAAAACTGGAGTTTTTTTTTTGAAAGGTTGAATTTTACCTTGAAAGATGATCTAGTACAGGACTGATCATTAATGGCAGAATGGGTTGTGATTATTCAGGCTGCATGTATGTGGTAGACAGTGAAAATGTATTTTATTAAAATAATATTAAAGAATAATCTCCTTTCCCCAAACTCCTGCTCCATTCACTCCTGCAGTGATGGATTCAGTTAGGGATCCTGGAGTGACTTTTCACAGGGGACAAAAGAGAAGGTTTTTTTTTTTTTTTGATGGTGGTGGTATCAACAGGGGTGAGGGCCTTCACCCTCCCTTGTACTTTTAATTAGTTCCTGATCCCCCAGTAGTGACAACAAAACTCTTCGTCCCTGGCATTTTCAAACCTCAGGAGAAATGGTAGGTTTCACAAGCCAAAGGCTCAGATTTTTTTTCTGAGAAAAGCAATAAGCAGACTCCATGAACTTCTTAAGAAATTTTGTTATCCCTTGAAATCAGATGAAAAATACTTAATTTTAAGAAAGCTAATCCCATCAATAGAAAAAAAGAGAACTCACCTGGGGGTCCAACAGGGCCTGTTTCTCCTTTCTGGCCAGGCGTTCCGTCAAATCCTGGGATACCAGGTGGACCAGTCAAACCAACAGGTCCTGTGACACCTGTTGAAATGAGAATACAATAACTTATTTATGCACTCACTGACATTTGCAATAAGATGGTATCCACTTGGCAAACCAGTATCTGAACATGAAGCACAAGATACATAAACTCTTCCTTAATCCAATTAAGATTTCATTTTGGGCTTCTCTTACATCAGTTGGCATGCTATATCTTAAGATGCACCAATATAAATCTGGTATAAAATGGTATGTATTAGAAGAAGGTGCATGCAAGGGTTTCTAGAGGTTCTTGGTTACTAGATTCTGTGCTGCACCACTGAAGGGTGCTGGTAGACTATGTCTGGCAGACTGTTTTATTAGTGTGAGGAGAGATAATTCCATGGAAGTGTTTCTGTGCATGGAGCAGCTCATTCCATCCATGGTTCATGTGCAGGCAGTGTGAGCAAGCTATTTTCTGTCTGATGTGTGCTAAAAGCCTTGTCATGGTCAGTGGCAGAGTGTCTGACAGTGTTGCTGCATTCTTTATAGTCTGTGGTTTCATTTGTGCTTGGAGTTTTTATGTGATAAGACTGGGAAGCAGAATCCACGGCATAATTTTGTATGAATGTGTTAATTTGTCCATTAACATTTCTTTGGGGGATTTGTACCAAATGGAGAAACTGCTTATTTTGTTGTTTGCTTCAATTATGTGCATCCTCTAAAGGTTTCACACAACCTACAAACTTCATCTTTTTCTTTGATGGATTTACTCTCAAGCTGCGGAGTGAGGGTGAGTGAAGTACATGGATCCTCGCCTGCCTGCTTCCATTTTTTGACAAAAACCTGTCTGTGAGAGAGAGAATGGTAGCTTCCAAAACTTCCACGAGTGTAGGTAAAGGTTCCCCTTGACAATTTTTGTCCAGTCGTGTTCGACTCCAGGGGGCGGTGCTCATCCCCGTTTCCAAGCCATAGAGCCAGTGTTTTGTCCGAAGACATTCTTCTGTGGTCACATGGCCAGTGCGACTAGACACGGAACGCTGTTACCTTCCCACCGCGGTGGTCCCTATTTATCTACTTGCATTTGCATGCTTTCGAACCGCTAGGTTGGCGGGAGCTGGGACAAGCGACGGGCGCTCACTCCATCGCGTGGATTCGATCTTATGACTGCTGGTCTTCTGAACCTGCAGCACAGGCTTCTGCGGTTTAGCCCACAGCGCCACCACGGCCTTTTCCACGAGTGTAAACTGATCTTAAATTGCTCTCCCTTGCTGCGATTAACACCCCAAAATAATAGATTTTAAGAACTGAAAATGAACCCCTCCCTCCCCCTCCCCCCTTTCTTTCTTTATTAAATTTTGTGTCTTTGGGAGGTCCCACAGGCAGAAATTTTGCCTCTGGATCTGCCAGAGCTGCTCGCTCCTGCTTCAGAGTATAAAAGGCACTGAGATATGACCTGCTTTGGTTTAACATTAATTTAAATTTTCTACATTTCTTGAATAAACTACATAATATAAGATCACAGTATCCTCAGGTGATCAGTTCCAATCCCCCCTCGTGGATGCTAAAAAACGTGAGCTGCGGGCTAAACCGCAGAAGCCTGTGCTGCAGGGTCAGAAGACCAGCAGTCATAAGATCGAATCCACGCGATGGAGTGAGTGCCCGTCGCTTGTCCCAGCTCCCACCAACCTAGCGGTTCGAAAGCATGCAAATGCAAGTAGATAAATAGGGACCACCTCGGTGGGAAGGTAACAGCGTTCCGTGTCTAGTCGCACTGGCCATGTGACCACGGAAGAATGTCTTCGGACAAAACGCTGGCTTAATGGCTTGGAAACGGGGATGAGCACCGCTCCCTAGAGTCGAACACGACTGGACAAAAATTGTCAAGGGGAACCTTTACCTTTACCTTTTTATCAAACACTATACAGTACATTGCATTGTCTCTGGCTCCTTCTAGTAAACACAACCTGGAAATACATATTAAAATGTATTGAAGTTTTTTATTTAGTATTTTCAGACAGCAGATAAATTAATCAGTGGATACTGATCCTGCAAATACGGCAATCCTACTGTAGTTTACTACAAACTACTATACTGTGTCTTCATATGATTAGTCCTTTTGTATATACTCTTCTAATATCTGTAAAAATGAAAGACAGATACAATATTTATACCACATGTGATATGGTAACTATGTATTTATTTCAATATCATTTAAAAGATTGTGGTTTCATAGTAGTATGAATAGTAATATACAGGACAACATAATTTGTACATTTTCCCTATTTCGAAGCTAATTTGGAACAAACTGGAAGTATAGGAAATCTGAATATTTTTAGTGACCCTTTGTAACATTATAAAAGATTGAAATAACCTGTTTAACTTCCATAAATCAGCTATGTAACTTCAGCTTTCCCAACACCCAACAAGGCATATCTGTTCTTCTACTCTTAATCAGCTCGTATCTTCCAAATCCATCTATTCCATGTAGCCACTAGTCTTGTGTCAAGAGGGCCGGCCAAGCCCAACTCTCCCTTAATACAACAACTTTGTATATCCAAGTTAAACTATGGACAGTGGGACCATCAAACCAGAAGCAAAACTCATCTTCTTGCTAAGTGAGCTGGCTGCTGCCCAACTCCCACTTAGCACCTTGAGTTATAAATCCACAACGTGCTGTGCCTCTGATCTGCCCTTCATAAATCACCACCTGCCCATCTGGTATAGGGTTCTTCTTTATATATATGCAGTATATATATAAAGAGGTTACTTACCTGTAACCATAGTTCTTTGAGTGGTCCTCTGTGAATTCACACATATGGGTATTGTCTGTGCCTGCGCTGACTCTCTCGGAAGATTCTAAAGCTAAAAGTAACAATTTTATGGTGTGATCCTCCACGAGGTATATGCTCCTCCCACCCACCATCTTCCCCAGTTCATTAATTTTATCCACCGGGTATGAAGGAAAGAATTAATTAAATAATTACATAATTAACCCGTGACAGATAGAGGGGAAGGATGGGCGGGTTGTGTGAATTCACAGAGGACCACTCAAAGAACTACGGTTACAGATAAGTAACCTCTTTTTCTTTTTCGTGGCCTCTGTGAATGCACACATATGGGTGACTAGCAAGCTGCACTTACCGGTTGGTGGGACGTCACGGTAAGAAAGATGACAGGACAGCTCTGGCGAATGCAGCATCTTGGCGTGCTCTGACGTCTAGACGGTAGTGCTTGACAAACGTGGATGGTGTGGACCACGCAGTGGCACGACAGATGTCAGGAACCTTGGTGCCACGCTGAAAGGCAGTAGAGGTGGACAGTGCCCTGGTGGAATGAGCTGTCAAATGTTCTGGAGGGGATTTCCCCAACAAGTTGTAAGCAAGGGAGATAGTCTGTACAATCCAACGTGCTATGGATTGAGAGGAAGCTGAGGCCCCTTTGTTTGGGCCGTGAAAGCATAGAAAGTTTATTGGACTTTCTAAAAGTTTTTGTCCTTTCGACGTAGAAAGCCAGGGCTCATCTGATATCGAGGTTATTTATGGAGCATATGTTCTAGGGGCGACGAAGGAGACTTGAAGAAGCAGGGTAGTATGATGGGTTGGTTGAGGTGGAAGTCGGAGACCACATTCGGGAGAAAGGAAACATCAAAATAAAAAGTCACTTTATCGGGGTGAAACTGGATAAAGGGAGGATCAGCTTGAAGAGCAGCGAGTTCACTAGCCCGTTTGGCTGATGTGATTGCAACAAGGAAGGCCGATTTAAGAGTCAGGAATTTGAGGTCGATGGACACCATGGGCTCGAATGGAGGCCGCATCAAGGCATTAAGAACCAGCTGCAGTGACCACTGGGGGGGTGATACGCTGTTGAGGAGGGCGAATGTTGTTGAGCCCTTTGAGGAACTTCTTGACAGTTGGGTGAGAAAACAACTTGGAGGAGGGAAAATCATCAGGCTGGTGAGCCATAATGGATGAAAGATAGACCTTTAATGTGGACTGGGAAAGGCCGAAACTGAAGAGATGGAAGAGAAAAGCGAGCAGAGTCTTCAGAGAGACGGGTATAGCAGGTAAGTGATTGTTCTGAGTATACTTCAAGAAAGATTTCCATTTGTTTTTGTATAGGAGGGTAGTGGAAGGTTTTCGAGCTCGAAGAAGAACCTGCATCACATCAGGAGTATCCTCCATGCCGCAAGACTGAGAGAGGCGACGTCTGGGTGAAGAACGAGGCCGTGGTCGAGTGAGAGGAGATCTGGGCAGAGAGTAAGTCGGAGCTATCAGGGGCTATCAGGATCGTGTTGGCCCCGTCCTGTCAGATACGGACAATCACCTGCTGGATGAGAGGCAGAGGGGGAAATACGTATAAGAGATCTTGGGACCAGTCCATCAGGAACGCGTCTCCCAGAGAGTTGCTGTCCCGTCCCGCTCTGGAGCAGAACCGGGGACATTTCTTGTTGGCATCGGCTGCAAAGAGGTCTATTGAGGGTCTGCCCCATCGCCGGCACAGCCGTTGGAATATGACATCGTTTAGAGTCCATTCGTGTGTTCTCGTCGGTAGCCGACTGAGCCGTTCTGCCAAGGGGTTGTCGTCGGTGGAAATGTGGACGGCAATAGGGGAAACATGGTGGGAACAGCACCACTCCCAGAGGTCGACCGCTAGGTAGAGCAGGGAAGAGGAATGGGTACCCCCTTGCTCATTGACATAAAAAAATGCAGTAGTGTTGTCTGTTGCCAACTGCACTACTTATCCTCGAATGAGGGGAAGGAAGGAGTGGAACGCTTTGATGATTGCCAACAGTTCTAGATGGTTTATGTGAAGTGGCAGCTTTTGTTTGGACCAGAGTCCGTGAACTGTGTGCTGGAGGCAATGAGCACCCCACCCCGTGGGGCTGGTGTCGGTTGTGACCTGTATGGAAGGTCTTAGAGGCGAGAAGAGCCTGCCGATAAGAAGGTTGTCTGGACGAGTCCACCAGTCGAGCTGGGAGGCCAGTTCTCGTGTCACTGGTAATAGGGCCGACGGAGGGTCTGTGAGCGGATCGAACAGGGAAAGAAACCATGCCTGTAGGG